ATTAGTAGATGGTGGGTATGCAGTGGACATAATAGATCACATTTCTGATAGGGAAACCTTATTAGTGGATGGTGGGTATGCAGTGGAAATAACATATTACATTTTTTGATAGGGAAACTTTATTAGTAGATGGTGGGTATGCAGCAAACATAATATATCTTGAGTTCAACAGAGTGAAAAAAATGGTGGCTGAGGAATTGGAGTTGAAATCTACAAGTCTTAAAGTTGCCAAGGTTGGACACCCGTGTACTAGATAAAGCAGAGTTCTGGGAACCCTTTCAAACATGTTTAGTTCAAGGAACGTTCACACGGGTTATTTCTCCCTACCTGCTCTTGGGCTTTGCGGGAGAGCCTGCGAAGGGAGGTGCCGAGAAAGGTCCCGATCCCCACCAAGAAGGGCATCACCACGACGAGCAGTCCGGTCAGTTTGGGGGAAATCAGGTAGAGAGACACAAAACAGCCCACCGTCTGAGTGAGGCTGCGTAGACCCTGCAAGTGGGAGTGGGGTGGGGTGAAGGAAGAGAGGGTGGCATAAAAAGAGACGCCTCCGTTCGCGCGAGAACAAGTCCGAATCGGAGCAGAATTGCCCCCCGCTCGGCGAGCCCACCCCTCCCGTCCCACCATCGGTCAAACCTGAGAGATGACCAGCTTGAAAGAAGACTTGAATTCCTGGATGTCGGCGGTCAGGCGGTTCACCAGGTGCCCCGTCTGATTGGCATCGAAAAAGGCGACCTCTTCCCTTGGGTTATCATATAAAGAAAACTTATAATGTTTGACAGATGGCATATAACACCCGTGAGATGAGCAAAAACGTTTAAAAATACTTCAAACAACTGTTGGAAATGCAAACAAGAGACCAGGTACGTATTATCATATCTGGTGGACATGCCCCAAAGCAAAAAAAAGATTTTGGGTTCAAATACATTTACGGTTGGAGAAAATGACTAAAAAACAACCTTAAATTGGAATTATTTTTGTTAGGAATAATAGGAGCTAATTCTGAGAAAGACTGCAGATATCTAACAGATAAGATAGATAAGATAACCTTTATTGTCATTTTTTGTTTTTTACCGTGGGCACAACGGCACACATCAAAAATGAAATTTAGCTGCCCGCTCTCAAGGTGAAACACATACATGCCACACCCCTAAAACATACTATGTACAACCTATGCATAGACCCACACCCCTACATACTCGTAGCAAACAAATATTAAATACTGTCCATCTTGAAAATATAACGGAAGGAGGAAGCTTGAGGGTTCACAAGGTTAATGCTGTGTGGAATGCAACTATGGCTGGATCTGGATGTTGTGCTACGGATATTAACGGCAGCAAGAATTGTATTTGGAAAAATGGAAATTTACCAACTGAAGTACTAATTAAGACAATTCTAGAGTGGGCAGAAATGGATAAGTTGACTTTAAAGATTATTAAAGAGAAAGAAGACTCGGTCTACTTTAGAACATGGGATCATTTCTATCCATGGCTAGAAAAACAAGCCAGAAAGAAAGGAATGTGATATGTAATTTTGAATGAATATATATATTAGTAAGAAGAAGGCCATTGAGTGATGAGTTAACATATTGTTTAGGATGATTAACTATATCTATTATTGTTAGTACCCAGACATTGTGCTGTTTGCTAAATGTTGAAAATGTTATTTGGAAAAACCCCAACCCTAACCCCGACCCCGCCTTATCACTTATCAAGGTCTACCTCTACGTAGTTGTAACGCCGAAGGCTAGCTGCAGTTTAGCCAAGTTGCTGAATTTCTCAACCAGATTTGACAGCCGACCGATCCTCAGCTTCGGATAATTCGGGGTCCACGCCGTCCCCTTCCCCGTTATCCCTCCCTCCAAGGCCGGGGCGGACCCGGATGACATCCCAACGTGCCCCCCTTTGTTTCTAACCCCCTTACCTGAGGAAGGAAGAGAAGAGCTGCTTCCGCATACTGCCGGCCACTCTCTCCCCGATCCACGACAGCAGCAGGATGTATCCGAAGGTTAAGGCGCCCTGCAGACAGAGGGGGGGGGGTAATTTAGATTCCTTGCAGAAGAACTGGTCATTTGCATTTTTTTGGGAGAGTCGTTGAGGCCACTTGGAGGTTTGTGTGCGTCCTCGTGGGACTTTCTTATTATTCTTTGAAGACGTTTCCTTTCCCATCCAAGAAGCTTTTTCAACTCCGACTGGAGGGTGGGGAAACGGAAGGATTTAGATTCCTTGCAGAAAAACTGGTCATTTGCATCCTTTTGGAGTCGTTGAAGCCACTTGGAGGTTTGTCTGCGTCCTCGTGGGACTTTCTTATTATTCTTTGAAGACGTTTCGCTTCCCGTCCCAGAAGCTTCTTCAGCTCTGACTGGATGGTGGGGAAACGGAAGGATTTAGATTCCTTGCAGAAAAACTGGTCATTTGCATCCTTTTGGAGAGCCGTTGAGGCCACTTGGAGGTTTATCTGTGTCCTCAGGGTCGCCTGAGTGATGTAAATGGGTGTGGAGCCTTCTTGGAACTGCTGAAAGGACGGCGTTGTAGACTGGAGATAGATAGATCGCCCATTTGCACCACTCAGGTGACCTTAAACCTCCAAGTGGCCTCAACGACCGTCTCAAAGGAGGCAAATGACCGGCGGTCTGCAAGGAGTATAAATCCTTCCGTTCCCCTGCCATCCGGTCAGAGCTGAAGAAGCTTCTTGAATGGGAAGCGAAACGTCTTCAAAGAATAATAGGAAAGTCCCAGGAGGACACAGATAAGCCTCCAAGTGGCCTCAACGCCCCGCTAAAAGGAGGCAAATGACCGGCGGTCTGCAAGGAGTATAAATCCTTCCGTTCCCCCCGCCATCCGGTCAGAGCTGAAGAAGCTTCCTGGATAAGAAGCGAAACGTCTTCAGAGGAAGAACAAGACAAGTCCAGTGGCCTTCAGTTTTAAGCAGTATATTATTTTCTCATTCCTTTCTTCCTTTTTTCCCTCTTTTTTCTTCTTACTCTCTTCTTTTCTTTTTCCTCGGTGTCTTTTTTCCACTTACTTTTTAAGATACGAAAACTTGAGATTTGCCCGAAAGATTTCGTAATGGGACTATTGATTAACCCAGCCGCCACGCTGCTTTTTAAATACTCGAATGTAAAATTGGAAAAATTAATAAAATATTATTTTTAAAAAATGCCCCCTGGGAGAAGCATCCTTGTGTGTATGTGTGTGTGTGTGTGTGTGTAACTTGAGATTTGCACTGAAGATTTTGTGATGGAACTATTGATTAACCCAGTCCCACGCTGCTTTCTAAATACTCGAATGTAAAATTGGGAAATTAATAAAATATTATTTTTTTTTTTAAAAAGCCCCCTAGAAGCATCCGTGTGTGTGTGTGTGTGTGTGTGTGTGTGTGTAACTTGAGATTTACAGGAAAGATTTTGTTATGGAACTATTGATTAACCCAATCGTCACGCTGCTTTCTAAATACTCGAATGTAAAATTGGGAAATTAATAAAATATTATTTTTTTTAAAAAAAAAGCCCCCTGGGAGAAGCATCCTTGTGTGTGTGTGTGTGTGCGTTTGTGTAACTTGAGATTTGCACGAAAGATTTTGTTATGAAATTATTGATTAACCCAGTCGCCATGCAGCTTTCTAAATACTCGAATGTAAAATTGGGAAATTAATAAAATATTTTTTTTAAAAAAAAAGCCCCCTGGGAGAAGCATCCTTGTGTGTGTGTGTGTGTGTGTGTGTGTGTTTGTGTAACTTGAGATTTGCACGAAAGATTTTGTTATGAAATTATTGATTAACCCAGTCGCCATGCAGCTTTCTAAATACTCGAATGTAAAATTGGGAAATTAATAAAATATTATTTTTTTTAAAAAAAAGCCCCCTGGGAGAAGCATCCTTGTGTGTGTGTGTGTGTGTGTGTTTGTGTAACTTGAGATTTGCACGAAAGATTTTGTTATGGAACTATCGATTAACCCAGTCGCCACGCTGCTTTCTAAATACTTGAATGTAAAATTGGAAAAAATAATAAAAATATGATTTAAAGGAAGGAAGGAAGGAAGGAAGGAAGGAAGGAAGGAAGGAAGGAAGAGGGTCTCACCTGGAGGCCGTAGAGGGTCAGCAGGCGCAGGGCCGGCTCGCGCACCAAGCGCAGGTAGTCGCCCACGCGCATGTGCTTGGCCACCACGTTCACCATCTGGCCCAGCAGCAGCGGGATGTGGACGTTGAGCATCGCCGCCCCGAAGGCAAACTGCGGGTCGGGAAAGAGAGAAAGGGCCGGAGAACGACGGCCGGGATTTTATTATTTATTTTTTTCAATATATATTTTTTTTTGACAAACTTTGGTTTAAATAGGATGGCTTGAAGGTGAGCTGGTAAGGGGGGTGGGGGGCGGACCCCCACAAGTGAATAGGATGCTTGGATGTATAAAGGCTTTCTTTCCTTCCTTCCTGAACCGGTCTCCTTCCTTCTCTCCCTTCCTTTCTAAATCGGTCTGTTTCCTGAATTTGTCTGCTTCATCTGTCTCCTTCCTTCCCTTTTCTTCTCCTTCTTTCCTGAATCTGTCTTTTTCCTTCTTTTCCTCCCTCCCTTCTACTTCCTTCCTCTCTAAATCTGTCTCCTTCCTTCCTTCCTGAATTGGTCTGCTTCCTTCCTTCCTGAATCACTGTCTGCTTCCTTCTCCTTCCTTCCTTCCCTCCCTCCCTCCTTTCCCTTCCTTCCTACTTTTCTAAATCTGTCTCCTTCCTGAATTGGTCTGCTTCCTTCCTTCCTGAATGTCCTGACTTCCTTCCCTTTCTTCCTTCTTTCCCTTCCTTCCTTCTACTTCCTACTTTTCTAAATCTGTCTCCTTCCTGAATTGGTCTGCTTCCTTCCTTCCTTCCTTCCTTCCTTCCTTCCTTCCTTCCTTCCTTCCTTCCTGTCTCCTTCCTTCTTTCCTGAATCGCTGTCTCCTTCCTTCCTTCCTGAATGTCTGCTTCCTTCCTTCCTGAATCAGTCTCCTTCCTTCCTTCATCTCCTTCCTTCCTGAATCTGTCTTCCTTCCTCCCTTCTCCTTCCTTCCTTCCTAAATCTGCTTCCTTCCTGAATCACTTCTCCTTCGTCTCCTTCTCGCTTCCTGAATCTGTCTCCTTCCTTCCTTTCTCCCTTCTACTTCCTTCCTAAATCTGTCTGCTTCCTTCCTTCCTGAATTGCTCCTTCTTTCTTCCTGAATCTGTCTCCTTCCTTCCTGAATCGCTGTCTCCTTCTTTCCCTTCCTTTCCTCCCTCCTTCCTTTCTAAATATCTTCCTTCCTTCCTTCATCTCTTTCCTTCCTTCCTGAATTGCCGTCTCCTTCTTTCCCTTCCTTCTCCTTTCTTCCAGAATATCTCCTTCCTTCCTTCCTGAATGCCTGCTTCCTTCCTTCCTGAATCTGTCTCCTTCCTTCATCTCCTTCCTTCCTGAATCTGTCTCCTTGCTTCCTCCCTACTTCCTTCCTTCCTGAATCACTTGTCTCCTTTGTCTCCTTCTCCTTGCTTCCAGAATATCTCCTTCCTTCCTTCCTGAATGCCTGCTTCCTTCCTTCCTGAATCTGTCTCCTTCCTTCATCTCCTTCCTTCCTGAATCTGTCTCCTTCCTCCCTCCCTTCTACTTCCTTCCTTCCTTCCTAAATCTGTCTGCTTCCTTCCTTCCTTCCTTCTATCTCTCCGTCCTTCCGGCTTGAGCAAGGGCCCGGACGAGAAGATCTCCCAGGTCCCTTGCCAGCTCTTATTGCGATCCCATTTCCTTCCCACCCAACCGTCCACGGGCCACCTGGGCCTGCCCACTTCCTCACCCACCCACCCAATCGCGGGGAAAGACCCTCACCACGATGGACGCCGCCACCGCCAGCAGCTGAGGGCGTATGAATTTCCAAAACATGGCCCAGTTGAAGTCCGGCTCTTTCTCCCCGGGGAGGCAGATCATCTCCACCTTGGGGGCCTCCTGGCAGAAGACCCTCCGGCCGAAGCCGGCCCCCAGGCCCACCAGGGCCGGCCCGGCCCACCAGGCCGCCATCCGGCCCAGCGGCA